ATTTTTTTTTGTTAAAATCGCTATTAGAAATAGCGTTTTTTCTGGAAATTTTTTTTTGTTAAAATCGCTATTAGCAATAGCGTTTTTTTGGCAACAAAATTTTGTGTAAAAAGCGCTGTTTATAACAGCGTTTTTATTGCGAAAAAAATTAACGCTAGAAGCGCTATTCGTAACAGCGACTTCTTAATCAAAGTCGCTATTTGTAATAGCGATTTTCCTGTTCATCTACTTTTGCGCTCCTAACAGTAAAAGCGCGAATAGTAATGGCGCTTTAGCTCAGTTTTGGAATTCCGTCAGAAGTTGGCATAGTTTTGAAAATACAATGTAAAAAAGGCTTATATTGGGAAAAGCTTGCTCCAAGCCGACATCGTTTTAATGGCCACAGGAACTACCGCAGATAAGGGCGGCAGAAGATCCGAACTCCTTTTAAGAGTATGCGCGGTGTAGTTCGCGCGGTTTGAAAGGAAAATTATAAATCGAATGATGAATTAGCGGATTGACAAATTGCTGTTTGGATGGTTTTTGGTGGATTGTCGAATTGAAAAATATTTTAACTAATTATCATACATTTACATAATATATAACATTAATTTGTATAATATTTTTTAGATATATAACACAAAGTAATTTTGCATAATATGTTCTATATATATAACCACTAATTTGTAATAAATTTTATATCTTAAATCTCTCTCATATTTATTTTTACATGAGCAATGCCATAGACCAATATCCCACCACTAGTGAGGTGGTAATTGAAAAAAAAAAAAAAAAGCACAAACACACTGTGACAGTGGGTGGGACCCACTGCCACATCATTAGAGCCACTACTAATTAGTGGTCTAAAGCATTTCTCTTTTTACATTGATATTTCATTAGAACTTAAAATATATATATATATATATATATATTAACTATAGCGGAGCGGAACGGTTCGTTTGGCGGATTATAAATTTTAAAGTTTAAACCGCGATTAGCGGTTAGAGCGGTGCGGATTAATGCGGATCGGAGTGATTTTAACAGATTGGGCAGTATTTTACACAGTCCTATCTCTAATTGTGTGGTTGTTATATAATAGCAATTCTATTGCTATAATTTGGTAATAAATAAAGTAATTTATCAAATTATAATAATGTCATTTCAATGATACATATATTATTTTGGCAAATTTTAACTAACTTTTCCATTAAGTTTGTAGGTATTGTTTGGATATAGATTTTTTAATAATTTTTTTGTTTTGTTTATTTTTTGTCTTTTGTGACTTTTTTTTATCTGTTTGTAAAAAAATTATATATTTATATTATACCCGACTAGACAATATAAAAAATGAAAAAGAAATTAAAAAATTGAAAAAATAAATTTAAATACTCAAAATATCTAGGCTCTCTCTCAAAATATCTATCTCTCAAAAAATTTGGATAGAGATGAACGCCCTCTCTCAAAATATCTATCTCTTTGTCTTTCTCCATTGCTTATGTCTCCCTTTTTCTCACCATCTTCATCTCTATCTCTCTGGAATCATACTCCACTTCGCTGGGTCTCTCTCTCAAAATTTCCCATCAACGTCTGTTGAATCGCTCATGCTAATCGTCTCTAATCTCCGTATGTACCACCGTAGTCCCATCCTTTCAACCCTATTTGTCGTCCCGAAAAACCCTAGGTTCATAATCCAATTGGAGTTTTCTTCAATGGCGTCATCAAAGGTGATAAATAAGAAAAATTTTCTCTCTCTCTCTCTTGCTCTGTTCTTTTACTGATTGGAGTTTTCTTTGAGGTTGGGTTCAGTGAGCAGAGACGAGCGAGGGTTCGACATGACCAAATGGCACCACTTGAACTGCTTTCCCATGAAATCAGAGTCAATTGCCTCACCAAAGGCAATCAAAGGGTTCTCTTTGCTGAAGGTTGGTTCGATGGTTACGCTAATTCACTGTTTCAATTTAGAGTTTAAAAATAAAAAAATTTAAAAAAAATAAAAAATAAAAAAATTGAATATACTGAGATTGCTTAAGTGTTGAGATTTCTTGAAATTCTGTTTAAAAATAAATTGTTGATTTTTTTTTTTCAAATGTCAATTGCCAACCGTGTTTAAACAAATTGGTGAGTTTTGTTTAAAAAAAATTTCCTGAATTTCGCAAAATGAAATTATTGATCTATTTTTGTTTGAGTTTTTTTTTTCTAGAAAAGGATGAGAAAGGGAGGGAAATAATGAAGAAAATCAGTTAATTTTGGGTAAGCTGGGGTATTTTCTATTTGTCAAAGTTGTTGTCAAACCTGACAACAACTTTAGCATTTGCCATTTTTAACCGCTGCTATTTGTGACCATTGGATAACCTTTTTTCCTCAAAGTTGTTATAATATAGCTTTAACGGCTCCAATGGCAAACCATTAGAGATGCTCTTATAGTCTTCGTTTTGGGAAGTTGGTTATTTTAATTAAATTTTTTATTTTTTTGATTATTTTAGCATATGATTAAAAAAATGGTGTTTGAAAAGATAGTTTTTTTTTTTAGTTGATTTGATAGTTATGAGAGAAAAAGTAAAATAATTATATATTAAATGTGATATTTTGTCTTATTAACTATTTTAACCTATTTTGTATTTATTAACTATTTTAACTCAAAAAAGTCTCTAACCCAACTTGTCAAACGCCCTCAGTTGACTATTTTAGCATAACTAAAACAATTATGTTTGAAATGATAATTGACTTTTTTTTTTAAATTGATTTGATAATTATAAAAGAAAAATTAAATAATTATAAATTAAATGTAATATTTTTATCTTATTAATTATTTTATTTTATTTTATTTTATTTTTATTAACTATTTTAATTTTAAAAAACCCACAAAGCTAAGTTCACAACAACCTAAGTTCCCAACCCAAGCAGCATCAGAAATGTGTAGAGCTTTTGGTGTGATTCCACCTATGTTGCTGTTTCCTCTTGGTGTGTCTAACAAATATGCTACCTGCTCCTTATAAAATCACCAACCATACTACCAAAATAGACCCACCACAACAAAAAGCGTCGTCAGCATCCAGCCAGAAAGAGATATGCCCCATGAAAAATGTTGTGGCTCCAAATTTTGTCAAAAATTTTATCAAATATCTCTAGATTTCATGAGAGGACACACAGAGAGAGAAGGGAGGGGAAAGGTGGTGTTGGGTTTGTTTGCTCTAAAATCCACCATTAATCCCAACCTTCAAAGCTCTTTTCATCTTCCATTGTTTTTTCACCAACGTAATTTCCTCAACTTATCACACAGAGAGAGAAAGAGAAAGAGAGATCATATAAACCCAAAATCCACCAAAATCAAAGCCTCTTCTGTCAAGCAAATCATGGCCTTAAACACTACCACAAGTGAAAGTCTTCACCTTTGGTGGTCATCTACTCTGTTTCTTCTTCTCTTGAGTCACTCTTTAGCTCTAAACTCAAATAGGTCTCTCTTACTCTCTTTCAAGTACTCCGTTCTCAGCGACCCACTCTCTGTTCTTGACAACTAGGCTACACCAACGACACTCCATGTTCATGGACTGGCGAATTCTTCAATCAATCTTTCGTTCAATAATTTTACAGTGAAATCCCTCCATCAATGCCGTTGATGAACCAGAAAATAGAGTTTTTTTTTTTTACAAAAGCAAACCCAACAACAACAACAAAGAAAAAGAAGAGACTCATGCAACTTGGTCGTACGTGAGCGTTCTAAATTTGGAAGAGAAGACAACAGGTCTGATTCTGATCATGAAAAATACAACAATGGTGGTGGTGGTGGTGGTGGGGAAAGGTGAAGGGAATTGGTGATGGAAGATGGAAGTGCAGTTGCAGTGAGAAGGATATGAGATAGAGGAATTGAGAGAAAGAGAAGAAAGATGGAGGTTTAACAGAGATGCGAAGGATGTGAGGGATTTGGAAGATGAGATGGATAGAGATAGAGAGGAGAGAAGATGAGAGAGATAAATCGCTCATGCTAATGGTCCCCAATCTCCGTACGTACCACCGTAGCTCCATCATTTCAATCTTATTTGTCGTCTTGAAAAAACCCTAGGTTCATAATCCCTTTGGAGTTTTCTTCAATGGCGTCGTCGAAGGTCGTAGCGGAGTATGCGAAGTCGGGTCGGTCTGCTTTCCCATGACCAAAGTTGTGTATTTCTTCAGAGGATCTTTATCCATTGCGACTAAAGCTGTTGTTCCTCTTCCCATGGGTACTTGGAAACTCTATATGAAGATAGAGATCTTGTTACTCTATGACTTGATGATGATAAAGAAGAAACTCTTTCTTTTCCTCTCTCTTGCTCTGTTCTTTTACTATTTGGAGTTTTCTTTGAGGTTGGGTTCAGTGAGCAGAGAAAAGTGAGGGCTCGATATGACCAAATGGCACCACTTAAATTGTTTTCCCATGAAATCAGAGTCAATTGCCTCACCAAAGGCAATCAAAGGGTTCTCTTTGCTGAAGGTTGGTTCGATGGTTACGCTAATTCACTGTTTCAATTTAGAGTTTAAAAATAAAAAAATTAAAAAAAAATAAAAAATAAAAAAATTGAATATGCTGAGATTGCTTAAATGTTGAGATTGCTTGAAATTCTGTTTAAAAATAAATTGTTGATTTTTTTTTTTTCAAATGTCAATTGCCAACAGTGTTTAAACAAATTGATGAGTTTTGTTTTAAAAAAATTTCCTGAATTTCGCAAAATGAAATTATTGATCTGTTTTTGTTTGAGTTTTTTTTTTTCTAGAAAATGATGAGAAAGGAAGGGAAAGAATGAAGAAAATCAGTTAGTTTTGGGTAAGCTGGCGAATTTTCTATTTGCCAAAGTTGTTGTCAAACTTGGCAACAACTTTAGCATTTGCCATTTTTAACCGCTGCTATTTGTGACCATTGGAGAACCTTTTTTCCTCAAAGTTGCTATAATATAGCTTTAACAGCTTCAATGGCAAACCATTAGAGATGCTATTATAGTCTTCGTTTTGGGAAGTTGGTTATTTTAATTAAATTTTTTATTTTTTTGATTATTTTAGCATATGATTAAAAAAATGGTGTTTGAAAAGATAGGCTTTTTTTTTTTTTAGTTGATTTGATAGTTGTGAGAGAAAAAGTAAAATAATTATATATTGAATGTGATATTTTGTCTTATTAACTATTTTAACCTATTTTGTATTTATTGACTATTTTAACCAAAAAAAAGTCTCTAACCCAACTTGCCAAACGCTCTCAGTTGACTATTTTAGCATAACTAAAACAATTATGTTTGAAATGATAATTGACTTTTTTTTTAAAAAGTTGATTCGATAATTATAAAAGAAAAATTAAATAATTATAATTTAAATGTAATATTTTTATCTTATTAATTATTTTATTTTTATTAACTATTTTAATTTAAAAAAACCCACAAACCTAAGTTCACAACAACCTAAGCTCCCAACCCAAGCAGCATCAGAAATGTGTAAAGCTTTTGGTGTGATTCCACCTATGTTGCTGTTTCCTTTTGGTGTGTCTAACAAATATGCTACCTGGTCCTTATAAATTCACCAACCATACTACCGAAATAGACCCACCACAACAAAAAGCCTCGTCAGCATCCAGCCAGAAAGAGATATGCCTCATAAAAAATGTTGTGGCTCCAAATTTTGTCAAAATTTTTATCAAATATCTCTAGATTTCATAGAGATTCGTAATCATATATATAAGATATTTAGTAAAATTTTTGGTAAAAAATTTAGTATTCCTATTCATGTCACATGTCTCATTTTATCACCTCTAATTACATGTCAAATGAGATGAGAAACAATAACAATCAATCAACTATCGTTAAAATGTAAGATTGTTTTACATGGGAGTGAGCCACATCATTAGGAGCTATGAAGCACGGATACTTCAAATAAGGTGATGTATCTGTATCAAATACCGATACTCCTTGGATACTCGTAGATACATATCGGATACTTATTAAAAATATCAGATACTTCTTAATTATTTTTTCATTAATTTTGGAGTATCGGATACTTAATTTTGAAGTATCGGATACTCCAAGTCATCTTTACTTGTTTTATGAAATTAAAATTGTAACATTTCTTACATAGTAATATAATATAATATAATTGCAAGTATGAATACAAGAATATTTTTCTAATACTCTGTTAAGTTTTTCGATAGGAAGAGCATAGTGAGTTAAATAATAGAATTTATCAAATTGATGTATCCTAATTATTTCATGCATGTCCCCTATAACTACATAGAAAGTAAGAATTAACAAGAGAATACGACAATAGTAAAATTAAATATTAATAAATAAATAAGCAAATAAACTTGAATACAATATTTTTCACTAGTGTCAAAGGAAAAAGTATAGAGATAAGTTGTGAATTGCTCTATTATTGTAATATAAATATATTAAACTTGATATTGAAATGAAATATTTACAAAACCTATTAAAAATTTAAAAAGTAAACAAGTTACGAGTTTAAATTAATACAAAATTCTTAAAGGTTATTATTTTGCATTATAAAATTACATTATGGTTTCTCAATGTTCTTTAACTTATATGTAACTCACTATTAATAATTTTAAAAAATATATTTTTCACAAACATATCCTAATCATACCGGTATCCTATTTTTTTAGATTTTATCGTATTGCCGTATCCATATCGTGTCGTATCCGTATCTCGTATATGTATCTATGCTTCTTAGATTAGGAGTGAAATTAAGGATGCAAAATTAGAAGGCATTACAAGAAAAAAGGGGTATAATTTTTTTTATGACGTTTTTCAAAAACGTTGTAAAATCTGCCTAGATTTTTCAAATTTCAAAAAAAATTAAACTAAACGATCTTGTTTTGTGTGCCGGTTATTAGAAAACAGTGGGTTAACACTATGCCGTTAAAATAAGATTATTAAATTATTTATTATTTCTTTTAATTGTAGTTGTACTGGTAGGGAATTAAAATAAATTAAAAACGAAAATTTTCTATTCTGATAACACAGAGGTGTGACTTGAGGAAGAGAGAAAATCGAGGCATTGTATCTTTGAGGCATCAGACCTTCGATCTCATTAGTTCTTCGATTGTTTGATCTGCTCTTGATATGAGCGTATAGCTTCCAGATTATTTGAATCCCTATGGTCTAAATCGATCTAGGGCACAAGGTTAGGGTTTTTTGATATGGTTTTGCTACATTCACACAAGATTTATAAAATTTCATGGCTAAAACTAATGATTTGGAATTGTTTCTCTCAATTTAGTTGATTTCTAACTTTTTTTTGCTTTTGTTTTGTGTTTTCTCTTTTCATTTTTGTTCCTTTACTCTTTCTAGTTGATTCACACATGGTTAGTTGATTCACACAAGATCTTTTCGTTTTGTGTTTTCTCGATTGAGTAGCAGCAAGGCGAATCGATTTATCTAGGGTTTCGAGTGCGGTGTTATTGTCTCTGATCATGTATGGGAAAAGCAGGTGGCGTTGGATGTGGATCGTTGGAAACAATGAGTAGAAGTTCAACGATGAAGAGATGTAGATTTGCTTTCTCTATTCAATCAGATTTGCTTTCTCTCTCTCTCTCCGATCTGCTAACATGGTAATATCAGATCTGCTCTGTCTCTCTGCCTTAAGGAGGTAATAGTGACTATAGTGTGACTGATTTCTTTTTTTCTTTTTTTTCTTTCTTTCTTAAATTCATCTATAGTGGCCTCAAGTTACTTTGGGATTAATATTTGTTTGAGAGATACCGTAATGTTTGGGATTTCTTATTTTAAAAGTTAAGTGAGATTATCTACTTCTTCAGACAAAGCCTTATATGTTAAAAGGACTAATAGATATGAATGTTTAATAGATATGAATGTTTGATTAACTGATGTTTGGGATTTCTTATTGCATATGAGTTTTGTGAATTTATGATTAACTAATATTTTCTGGGCATTGGAATGATGGATTTTCAATATCTTGAATTTTTTTCCTTGTATCACACATATTAATTCAAAATTACTTGAGTTGTAGTGCATCAATATTTTTAATCCTAGATTTTTCCTAGCAGCCCATGGAATTGTGTATTTGTTTGTTGATTTGTGTTTTGAAAAAATTGATTGTTGTGGAAGTTAAAAATTCTCTCAATTATAGCTTTTCCACAACTATGGTAACAAGTTTTGTTGATATTGTGTGCTCTCATTTTCATTTTATTTTTGAACAAGGTGTTATGAAGATAATTAGTATCAACAAACAGACTTCTGTCGGATGCAAAGTAAAGATTTGGATTGCAGATTGGTTTGCACAGTTGAACAACAAAATGGGGGATGATTTGAAGAAAATTCAAACTGTTGGATAGTGCATGATTGAGATTAGGAAAGTTGTAGGGTTAAATCTCCAAGGAGATAAAGTGAAATTTTTATGGTCTTCAATTTTGCATTATAATTCAAATTTGAGTCAATTTGTGTTCTTTTATATAAGTTCTCAATTAATTTTCAATCTTTGTTCCTAGTTAAATTTATATAAATTTTCAATTAATTCTCAATCTCTCTCTAGTTAAATTCTCAATCTCTATTATTAGTTAAATTCTCAATTAATTGGGCCTTTTGTTCTTAAAAAAAAATAAAAATAAATAAATGGTGTTGTTTAAAAAAAAAGTCACTAATGATGTCATGATATTTGAGGCGAGTATGAAAATGAAGAAAGGTGGCATTTTGTGAAAAAATACCACTAAATGATGTCAGCATTACGTCATATGCGGAAAGGCTAGCGTCCGTCAAAGATTTTGTGACATTTTTAAAAATGCCGCCAATGTGTTTAGTGACGCTTTTGAAACGTTGTTAAGCTATTGCGGTGGCCATATCTACGACGAAAATTTTAAACGTCGTAAAAACATATTAAGATGTTTTTGGGTCTATAGCGGCGTTTTTAAACGTCGCTAAAAGTCAATTTTCCTACGGTGAGAATATCGTATCACTCTAGCCAAAAATTATTCTATGGGTCAAGAAGACCACGTGATCACGTGTCTATCCAATGAGATTATGTTACCTCTCTACCATTTTCTTTCTTTTTTTGGCACCATGTAATTCTTAATTACTTGCTATTGATTGGACACACTATCACTGTAAAATTCCTAAAAGATAAAATAATTACTCCTCAACAACAATGTTGGAGGGGATTTTGATCCTCCCTTCCCCTTCGTAAGGGAGGAAAAAAAGGTACCTATTGTCATTTTGAAAAGATTAAAAATAAAAGAAATTATGTCTAAATTTAGAGAAATTTTACTATACACACCATTTGAAAATGGGTGTACCATATAAACCAATGATTATGTCTTTTTATCTTAGTTATGATCAATTTTCTTCTTTCGTTATGACTCATAAAATTTTTAGTTATACCTTAAGTGGTGTTTGATTATTAATTTTTCTTTTTCTTTTTTTTATTTTTATTTTAGTTATGACTTAGAAAGTATAGAGTTATGCTATTTTTTTCTTCAATTATAAGGTGCATATGGTTTTTTCCCTAAATTTAAGCCTCGTTTGAGAACAAACTGTTTTAGTATTATTTTTTTTTTTATTTTTTTGGCTAAAATATGAGAGAGAAAAATTAGTATGTTTTGAATGACTTTTTTTTGGCTTTTTAAGGAAAAAAAGGTACAAAAAATATAGATAAAAGACAATGTTTGACTTTTTGTGTATATTTTATTGACTTTTTGACCTTTTTAGTTATTATTATTATTATTACTTTTTTTTTTTAAAACTAAAAGTAGAGTTGCCAAACGAGACTTTAGTGATTTAAAACAAAGAACAACTCTGTTTGATTTTGAGTTTTTAAAATTTTTAATTTTTAATTTGTATTTTTTATTTTTAGTGATTTTTAATATTTTAATCAAAAAATTTTTAGATCCACTTAATTTAGATATATTTAAAAATTATAAAACTTATATAATTTTTTTTTTAAAAAAAATTCATTGAATACGAAAGTATACCGAATATATATCTAGTCTTTTTTTTCCTTATTCAAATAATTCTTTAAAGATTTTTGCATAATTTTTGTACTTTTAAAATGTATCTAAATTAGTAGATTTAAAAACTAAAAAGAATAATTAAAATATTGAAAAAATCACTATAACCAAAAAGTATAAATGGAAAATTCATACAACTTGGAAAATACAAACCAAATAGAGTAGATTTTAAAATAAGGAAACAACCTTTCAATTAGGGTGTAAATCTGGTCCACTGGCCTACAGCCCACCCGAAGCGTACCTGCAGCTAGGTGCGGCCTGGCCCAGGTTTGAACCCAACCCGAGACCCTGGGCCGATTGTTTTGAAGCTTGGCCTGGCTCGACCCGATTGGTTGAAAAAAAAAATTGTAATATTTTATTTCATTTTGAAATTTAAAAAAATTATTAAATTATCTATTCAATTTAATGATTGTAATATTTCATTTCATTTTGATATATATAATTATTCATTTCATTTTATTTTTTTCAGAGAAAGACTATGTATGCACCTTATAACTATAGAAAAAAATATTGATATAACTTCATACTTTTTCGGTCATAACTAAAAAAAAACATAAGTCATAACTCAATACTTCATGAAACATAACCAAGTCATAACTAAAATACTATAGTACAATTTTTCTTTTGTTTTCATCCATCATAAATAATCTATATATATAATATATCTATCAATTATTTTTTCTGAAACCGTGACCCTATTTTGAGTGGGCTTGGGCCTAGGGTTTTTTCACATGGACCGCATGACCCGACCCGATAGTGGGTCGGCTCGAGCCTAGGCCCGGGTGGACTGGGCCAAATTTACACCCTTACTTTCAATTGTCTCAATAACTAGATCCGAATAAAAAGTCCAAATAAATCTCAAACGAGGCTGTAACAACTTGAAAGTTTTTCTTGTTTATCGTTCGAGAGATGGGTTATTCACTCAAGCGGTCTTGTGAGTCATCCAGTATTTTTACGAGTTTGAGATTCTGGGAGATATTTATGTTTGCTCGAGCGGAGGGTTAGTAGCTCGAGTGGTTTGCCTTTGTTGGTCTGAAGTTCTAGGAGTGTGAGTTTTACGCTCAAGCGAAGGTTTAATCACTCGAGCGGTGTGGTGTCTCTGACACTCAAGCGCAGGAGTGGTCGCTTGAGCGGTCTGTTCGGGATCAACACTTTAAAAAGCCACTTTTTGGTCAAACCTAAATCATTTCTTTCTCTCTTTTTCCTCTCTTCCGCTATTTTTGAGACGTTTCAAGCTTTCAAGCTTGGTTTTCATCTATTTACACTCACTTTTTACCCTTAGTTCCTTATACCAAAACGTAGAGCACGAAGAGAGCTTTCAACTAATTTGAACAGATCGTGTTTTCGTCAAAGTTGGATTTTCAAGCTTTCTCCTCTTCTTGCTAGAGGTAGGAATTTCTTTGCTCCTTCTCAAATACTTCCTTATAGATAGACATGTGGTATATTTCTATTGCATAAAAAGCATGAATTAGTTATGTGATTTCAAATTCATAAAAAGGGATTTTTGGGTTTGAGTTGTGGAAAGTGAAATTGTATGTTTTTGGGAGATTTTGGTGTATTGAAAGGTAGTCTATCTTGTTTATGTTATGAAAAGAGGAAAAACAAGAGTTTTTATTATTAAAGGTTTGATTAAATGAAAAAGGGAAAGTTGGGTAATAGTTATGTTATGTATTATGTGGATTGTATTAATGTATTAATCACTAAAAAAGGAGTTAATTGAGATATTGAGATTGTTTTGAGAATTATATGTTGAGTTGAGTTGAGTTGAGTTGTGATTTTGGTCAACTATGCATTTATAATTATTAAAGAAAGAAAATGAGTATTTGGAATGTGGTTGAAGTATTGTGAATTGGGAAAATAAGGAAATTGATTCTGAAAAGAAAATAAAATTAGAACTTTTTTGTAAATTGAGAATAAATGGGAGGTTGGACATTTAAACATTTGATATATGTTATTCTTGTTATTGGGTTTATGTCCCACGAGATTTGGATGGTTGTGGTTATGCGTATTAAATACTTGATCTTAGAGGTTTTGTCTTTGGTCATCGGTAGAGGATGACATTGATGTGTTGAATAGATTATATTCATGTATTACACTAATGTTATTATGCTTTTAGCATGTCGTGATGGTTAGTAATGTATACTGCGTTGAGAACGAGAGGTATTATTATCTTTTAGCTAGTGCCTGCAGAATTGGTTGCGCAGTATCGAGACTTTCCAGCCAGCTGTACCATTCCCTTCCAGCTTGTGTCTAGTAAATTGGCAGAGGTACCATTATCTTCTAGCTTATGTCTGGTAAACTGGTGTTACATTGTGGAAAGGTGTGCCCTTGGCTTACTGTACTTAAAGCAGGTAAAGCACGGATTAGTGTTTCAGTGTTGAATCGGTTTACAAGTGTGTATCATATACGGTAGTGGTTTAGTAGATAAAGTCGAGTTGTCTTATATGATTGTGTAGCAATTACGGCATGCATATTATTTCTTTTTCGTATTAAAGGTGATTATACGTACATTTGTGTATCAAACAAGTTGTAGAAAGGTTCCTTTACCCTTGCCTTAGGACTAGGAAAATGTGATTCATGTATTAGTAGTGGGTGTTTATGATGGATTGGGAGTGTAAGAATTGTTAATATATGTTCTTTATGAAATGGAAAATGTTAGAGAAGGGAAAGAGAAGTTATATGTATATCGTTGAGTAAATGGGATGATTTTATGGATAAAGTATATATATATAAGTATACTTAGATTATAAAACATCACATTAATTGTTAGCAGATATTTTAATATTATAATGTGTTATAGATTATATTGTGTGGTTGGGCTCTAAATAACTTGTTCTCCTAGTTAATCCTTTCTTTTCCTCCAAGAAAACTTGCCCACCAAGTCTCCAAGTCAAGTCTTCATTCTTATCCACCAAGCCTCCAAGGAAATTTCCCACCAATTTCATCTCCTATATTTTTCCTCCAAGTTAACCCCTTTCATAGTGACCAAGCTTTCCTCTCCTATAAATTGAGCCTTTCACGTCTCTTATTGGTAGCTCAAGTTTCTTATTTGTGAGATTATCAGGCAAATAAAAAATGATGTATGTGATAAAGCTTTGGGTTCAACCAATTGTGTAGTATTGGTTAACCATACGACTTAGTCGGGCTATTGTATCTTGGAGGGGACAAGTCAAGGTTTTTTTTGCTGCACCGGTGTGAGGCTTTGCCTAACCGCAAAGGGCTTGAATCTCCTTAAAGAGAGCAAATTTCCCGTGCCTTAGCCCTTTCAATAATTATTGTAATTTTTTTTTATTTGTATTTTCTGGTGTTTTATTTGTAATTATCACTAATAATTTTAAGGAGATTCAAACAGTAAAATTCATGGAGCCAGTATTGGAAAAGCCCAACGAGAATACCGACGATCTCAACAAGCCCTTTTGGTTTAATGGAGCCCATTTCAAGAGATGGAAAGGGAAGGTGCTTTTCTACCTCAGTCTCCTCAAGGTGGCCTATATCCTGACCGAGAAAAATCTGAACAAGTC